TCCTCGCTTAATCTCTGTGACCGTTAGCACTAGAAAGCTGAAATTTGGTACCAATATGTGTATCAATCACGCCGACAAAGTGGTAAAATAAAAATTGGAAAAAATGTTTTATTAGGGTAGCCCCCCTATATGTAAAGTGGGAAGTGATTTTTTTTTTTAATTTCAACCCTAACGTGTGATATATTGTTGGAAAGGTATTTAAAAATGAATAGGGGTTTACTAAAATCATTTTTTGATAATGTCAATAATTTCGGAAATAATCGCTCCAAAAGTAAAAAAACAATGTGTCCCCCCCCCTCTAACTTTTGAACCATAGGTTTAGAAAATATGAAAAAAATCTGAAAGGTAGAATTTTATAAGGACTTTCTAGGAAAATTATTTTGAACCTGGATGGAAACAGTTTTTGTACAAAAAAGACAAAATGTTGTACAAAATAATTTCTGGACTAAGTTTATAGTATAATCGTTTAAGCAGGCATTTTTTTTAACTTCGTTTACATATTTTATTATCCTGAACGTATCTTTTTTCAAACAAAAAAAAGAATTATTAAAAAAATTATCCAAAATTACCACCGAAAACTTCTGGTACGTCTATGTATTAATTAGTAACCCAATTCCCCGAGAGATGGCGCTGTAGGTACTTATTACATTGGGTCGGGTATTATCGAATTGTTCGGTTGGTCTCTCCTTGGCATCGCCTGCCGCGGAGCGTGCAATGTTGCACGCTCCATGTTCGTGCACGTACCCACTACCTGGAGCAGTTGCAGGAACGCGGAGCGCTGCTGGAGCGCGAACATAATGGATACCCACCTTTAAACTCATAAGTGGGAACACTTATTGTGACGGACGGGAAACTGCGGAACCCTACACTGAGCGTGGCCCGACACGCTCTTGGCCGGTTTTCATATTATGTAGTTGATGATACCTTTATTTTTTTTCTGGTCATATACAATTTTGTAAAGGGTTATAAGCTTATAAGCAAGTCATTATTATTATATATTTTTTCTTTTCTAAAAGCAATGAAACTTAAAGTTATGTAATAACCTACATAAAATTTAAAATTGTTCTTTTCATTGTTTAAATAAATTAATGTTTTGCTACTTAATAGTTGTTATAGTGATTAACTTGATAGCTGTTATAGTGATTTTTCAATTATTCTTTAATTACGATATAATAAAGGTCATATATCTATCAATCTATTTTTTTTAAAGTTAATGCGATTGTCGTTGTATATGAATGTAATATATTTATTATCACTGTAACCTTAACTGAAATCTTAACTTTTTGTGTAAATTAAAAATATTTAAAACTATCATTTTACTTGCATTCGTTTATTAATATATTGTACAAGTTAAAATTAGATTTGAACATTATTCGATGTAATCGCAAACCTTTCCTTAAACGAACTTTGGAATTTTTAACAAAGGTGTCACAAAATGCTTTTGTTGCTAAGATTGCAATTTGTATTTTGATGTCTGTTGTTACATAATTGCGTTGCTTTACTCGTACACCTACTTCTTTGTTCTGTATACCTTAATATGAAATGTAATAATTTATTTTCGGTTTTACTTTCATGAAACTTTAAATTGTAAGCTTTTATTCATTATTTTTTGGACATATGTTATTCATTTCATATCTAAATTATTTGTGTAGATTAAGAAAATAATTTCTTCTTATATACGATTTTGAAACTCCTATTATATATACAATTTATTTATTTAAATTTGGTTGTGTTAATATTGTAAACCTCATTTCCTGACTAAAAATGATATACCTAAATACTAAATGCATACATGTCCAAAATTGCATTGACTTTATTTTATTATACAGAAAATGGCCAAGGAATGTAAAAAAAATCTGTGCATGAAAGAATACCTTATTCTAATGTTAGTTTCAATTTCTTTATCTTTACGTATTTTATCAGTGTCTCCTCTGTTCTGTTTTAGTAACGTACTCATAACGAATATCTGGCACATTTAGAGAACATTATAGGATATAAAGATATATATTTTTTACGTGGTAGAGCTATGCTGTAGTTATATTTGTAGTATAGTTGTAGCACGAATGGATCGGCTCAACGGGGAGGGACCACGCTCTCACAGAATACCAGCGTCAAATAGTAGCTTAATGCTGCTGTGTTTCGTGTGGTGAGTGTAGAGAACCGGAGACCCTTTTTACTGGAAACGAGGCATTCCACCTAAGTCCTCACGGATGACAACGCATCTACATTTTGATTCGTAATCGAGGATAGATGTAGATAGATGCCTGTGGACCACAGCAACCACTTACTATCAGGTGGACTGTGTGCTCGTTTGTCATCCTATCCTGTAAAAAAATAATAATATATAACGGGTCCGCCATCTAACTTTTTTTTTTCAACTAGTGCTTATTTCGTGAATGGCAACACTTAGCTCATGTCTAATTTGACAGATAATTAGTTTTATCCTTCCGCTGAACGAATATGGTTGTGTATACGCTTGAACAACGCTGGGAAATATTGCGACATTACTTTGAAAATTATGGTAATGTTGCAGAATGTGTGCGAAAATTGCGTACGGATTTTGGAAGAAATGAAGCTCCGTATGTTCGTTACCTTGTGAAAAAAGTGAAAGAAACTGGCATCCTCATCGATAAATCAACGCGTGAAAAGCCAAAAACAGTGCGTACACCCGAGAATATTGGTGCTGTAGCCGAAAGTGTGCGTGAAACGCCATCAACATCAGTTCACCGTCGTTCTCAACAATTGGACATTTCGGAGACATCATTGAGACGAATTTTGCGTAAAGACCTTGGTATGACGCCGTACAAAATCCAATTGGTCCAGGAGTTGAAGCCAACTGACCATCCAATGCATTTTCGCTTCGCTAAGTGGGCCTGCGATCGACTTGCAGAAGATGCGGATTTTGCCAAAAAAATCATCTTTTCAGATGAAGCTCATTTCGAACTTGGCGGGTATGTAAACAAGCAGAATTGTCGCATTTGGGGCATAGAAAACCCGCACGCATTCATCGAAAAGCCGGTGCACCCAAAACGAGTCACTGTTTGGTGCGGATTTTGGTCCAGAGGCATAATTGGGCCATTTTTCTTCGAAAATGAGCAAGGTGTGGCCGTTACAGTCAATGGCGATCGTTATCGGGCCATGTTGAACGAATTTTTGTTCACAGAAATTGAAGAGGAGGATATTGGCAACATTTGGTTTCAACAGGACGGCGCAACGTGCCACACAGCCGACGCTACACTTGATGTTTTGCGCCCTGTTTTTGAAAATCGCATTATCAGCCGCAGAGCTGATGCCGTTTGGCCACCTCGGAGCTGCGATTTGACACCGTTGGACTATTATTTGTGGGGTGCCGTCAAAGATAAGTGTTACGCCGACTAGCCAGAGACAATTGACGCTTTAAAGGACAATATTCGTGAAGCCATTGGTGAAATACAGCTGCACACAATCGATAATGTACTCAAAAATTGGACCGATCGTGTAGGCTAAATTTGAAAAAAATATTTAGTAGTTTTTTTTAATAGCATTTTTAAACAAAAAAGTTATTTGGCGGACCCGCTATGAGGTGGGACGGGAACAGGATAGGGCGGAATGTTGCGACTTTTGATATAGCTCTTTGAGCGCGTTCCAGTGGTAGCAGTGTATTTTTAGCTGCTCCTCTCCGTGGGGTTATACAATAGTTGAGTATTGATTGACATAAAAAGTATACTTACTTTACTACATTAATATCAACAAAAGAACAAATCTTAAATCAATCTAAAAACAAACAAACATTGGCTTACGGACTTTACTGCGTAAGTTTTAACAGTAGTAGAGCCACGCGGCTGCTTTTGCTATTGCGCAGCTGGGCCGGCTCGAACCGGAGTGGTTATACGACCTTACAGAATATCAGCGTGAAGTAAAAGTTTACCTCTGCGTTTTGAATGGTAAATTACGTCCGCGACTAAAACTGCTCGGGGCAAGCAGAGCAATATGACCAAGTTGACCCCTGTCACGCTATCCGTAAATTTTTGTAACATCAGGGAACTTCATTCCAACCTTAACGCTGTTCACTACCATCTGGAGACGGCGTAGCCGGCTTTGCTCTTTTTAACCGAGATTCAGGTATCCTCTCCGGCTGATATTTCATATCTCTCCTACCCGAGGTACATATTAGAACACTCCTTCGTGCCCCGGGCTGTAGTTTGCGTATACGTCACAGAGGATATGTGTTTTCGACGCCTTGGCAGTCTTGAAGGTATGGACCTGTCCAAACTATGCTGCTCGTAGACAGTAACGACTATTTCCATATCTACGGGTAACTCTATAGTTCCCATAGCGGTTATGTTGAAACTAACTGAAAAATGTAAATGTGACTGCCTCGTTGGTTTAGTAGTTGTAGTAGTGCGACTGCTGATCATGAGGTCCTGGGTTCGAATCCCGGGTCGGGCCAAAAAATTAATTATTGAGTTTTTCCGTCAAGAAATTCTCAGTAGCTGCCCGGAGTCAGGAAGTTGGCGGTGTCTTACCTACGTGCTTCGGAAAGCACGTAAAGCCGTTGGTCCTGCGCCTGATCTCTCTCCGGTCGTGTCGGTTTACCGTCCCATCGGATTATGAGAGTGAGGGAAGAGAGAGTGAGACATATACTTGGGCACTAAAATCCTGTCCTGCGCCGATGGCTAGCCTCCGTTGAGGCAGGCCACCGTGGCCGAAATTCGGTCTGGAGGACATTATTATTATTTTGGGGTATTTATCTAGTTTTCTCATCTGGTTGGGTTCTATAAATATATAATTATAAATGAAAATGAAAAGATAAATATATATAAATATCAATAATATAAAATAAATATAAAAATACATAAATAAATAAAAGCCCAACCAGATGGAGGCCCTCGGCAGGGGAGACCAAACGGCCGAGGGTTAGGGGGAAAGGGAAAGAAACCGGCGGACGATGCGGGCGGTATCGAGGAGCACCGCCTTCTGCATTTGAGCCCGGAGCGGTCCGCCACGTAGTCCCAGTCGCCTCAGATGACCCGAGAGGCTGACTGGGATTAGCCCGTTTGCAGAGACGACTACAGGAATAATTTCGGTCGGCAGACCACCCCACATGTCGGTCACCTCGTGAGCCAGGTCCAGATATTTTGTTTGCTTGTGTGTTTCGGCTTTCACGAGGTTCTCGTCATACGGAATGGTAATGTCGACCAAAAATATCCTTGACTGTACCCGGTCCATCAGCACAATATCAGGCTTATTCGCAAGAATAGTCCTGTCTGTGATGATGGCCCGGTCCCAATAGAGCCTGGCGCGATCATTTTCGAGCACGGCTTCCGGCAAGTACTTGTAATACGGCAATTTCCGATCCACGAGACCGTATTTCAGAGCGAGCTCCTGGTGAAGAATTCTGGCTACTAGGTTGTGCCTGTGCAAGTAATCAGAGTTAGAAAGCGCCGAACAACCGGAGATGACACGCCTAAGTGACTCACCGGGATGGCGACAAGCTCGACAGATGTCCACGGTGCCATCCTTTAGGATGTATCTCCGATAGTTGTTGGTCTTAATAACCTGATCCTGTATTGCACAGACAAGTTCGGTCCCTCGGTTTCCCCGAAGAGATCGCCATTGCGTAGCCAGTGGAACTGAGGCTACTGTGTCTACGAAAGGCTCATGTAGAGCCTTGTAGAACCTCCCGTGGAGCTCGTTCTCCTTCCATACGGTCTCCCGGTCGAAAATGCTAAGCACTGCTGGGTCCTGCCATTGCTCGTTGGCTAAGGATAGAGTGGTAAGCCCTTTATCACTAGAAATGACGTCATTATAGAATGGATCATCCGATCTCGCCAGGAAGTAATCACGGAGGCTGCACACTTCGCGATTATGCATGGTGAGCGCGCTCAGAAAACCACGTCCACCATGCTTTCGCGGCAAGTACAGCCTCATTACCGACGATCTCGGATGTTGCATCCTATGGGACGTCATGGTAGTGCGGACTTTTCTATCCAGGGCGTTAAGTTCAGTCTGGGTCCACCTGAGTATGCCAAAGGTATACATGAGGACAGGCATGACCCCACCGTTATATGCATGTGTCTTATTCACACCGGACAAAAGGTTGTTAAGCACTTTGGTCAAGCGTGCATAAAACACGTCGCAAACTGACTGTTTCATACCAGCCTCATCGATACCGATGTTCTGTGACATACCCAGGTATCGGTATGTTTCAGCCTCGGAAAGGGTCCTTAAGTTGACGGGCATAGAAAAGTATATGCCCTCAGAGTTAGCAACCCTTCCCCTTTCAACATGGAGGACCGCACACTTATCCGTTCCCAGCTCCATTCCAATAGAACTGCTAAATTCACAAGTGATGTTTAGCAATTCCATAAGATGGGAGCGACTGGAGGCGAATAACTTGAGGTCATCCATATAGAAAAGGTGGATCACTTTTGTACCTCCTTTCCGAAGCTGAAATCCCCTCCCGGAGCCCTCCAGTAAAGTACTGAGAGGGTTCAGGGAGAGGCAAAACAGATTGGACTCAGACAATCGCCCTGGAAGATTTACTACGTGGTAGAGCCATGCTGCAATTATATTAGTAGTATAGTTGTAGCACGAATGGGTCGGCTCGACCGGGGAAGGACCACGCTCTCACAGAATAAAATAGTATCTTAATGCTGCTGTATTTCGTATGGTGAGTGTAGAGAACCGGAGACCCTTTTTACTGGAAATGAGGCATTCCATCTCAGTCCTCACGGGTGACAACGCATCTGCATTTTGATTTGTAATGGAAGATAGATGTAGATGTCTATGGGCCGCAGCAACCACTTACCATCAGGTGGACTGTGTGCTCGTTTGTCACCCTATTCTATTAAAAAAAAAAAAAAGATACCCCTTCTTATCCTTATGTGGTTCTCCGCAGCCATCATCCGCTCGCCCAGATAGCAAAGGATCGTACTCCATTGCCCCATACACTGCTCGAGGATGTCTCCAACTGTACAGTCAATTTTGTACAGCTGGAGGACTCTCTTTAGCCATGTATGGGGCACCGAGTCGAATGCCTTTCTGTAGTCTATCCAGGCGGCGGAGAAATTCCGACGGTTGCGTTTCACCACTTTGCTAATGACCGCGTCAATGAGGAGTGGTTCCTTGGTTCCACGACCACCGCCCCGGCATCTATTTTGAGCGCGTGACATCACCTGATTTAGCTCCAGGTGACGAGTGATTCTCGAGCTCAAAATGGATGTCAGTGTCTTATATATGGTGGGTAGACACGTGATGGGGCGGTATTTGCTCGGGTCTGTGGTATCCTGATATTTAGGAACCAAATGAGTGATCCCAGTAGTGAAGAGGCTCGGGAGCGACTTCTGATCGAGAGCCTCTTGAAACTGTCGGGCGAGCACAGCGTGACACACTACGAACCCCTTCAGCCAGTAATGATACAGCCCGTCGAGCCCCGGACCTTTCCAGTTCGGGGCCCTACGGACCGCCTCAGCCACGTCTTCAGGCGTTATGGTGACGGGGTCCATAGGCGTAACACTTGCACTCTGGCTCGCCACAACTTCCATCCAAGGGCCCTCGCTGTGGTTTACGGGCTCTGACCACAGACCACGCCAAAATGCGACAGTGTCGGCCTGATCCGGTCCTGGGCCCGCTCCACATACCTCTGGTCGCTCCAATGATTTAGAGAGCCTCTTCTGATCACTCTGGAAGAGACGATTCTAGTTGAACCGCCTTGACCTCTCGCTAAATCGTCGAATCCGCTTCCCCCAAGCAGCGATTTTTTGCTTCAGGTCATCTTATTATTATTACAATCTTCTTATTATTATTATTATTATTATTATGTCGAAACAGACCAACCCATCAGTAAATTTTGACAAAGTAAATGATGCTCTATCGAAGTAAGTAGATAGATAGATAGATAGAAAACTCTTTATTGCACTTAAACAAAACAATTTGGTACAAAGGCGAACTTAATGACGAAAAGGCATTCTCTGCCAGCTAACCTTTGTAGTGTGGTGAGAGCTATGGGTAGAGCCGCGAGAGAAAGAAAAACTAACTTATTTATTCATACTATTCAAAACGTATTATATAATATTATGTATATGTTAGTTTATACATATATACACTTATACACATACATACATATATATATATATATATATATATATATATATATATATATATATATATATTTTAGATAAAATATATACTAAACCAATAAAGCATACAATATAGTATACGAAATTATAATAAACATAATAAATAAAATTAATCAAGTAATTTTAAATAATATGCCTCAAGCTTACGTTTAAATATATTTATTGAAGGAGCATCTTTTATATCTCGAGGAAGTTTTTTCAAGTGTAATTGATGATACCGTGAAGGAATCCGAGTAGTATGCAGATTTATGCATCGGGATAGTTAGAGTTTTGTTGGTCATCGAACGGGATAAGCTTAAATATGAAAAATGCTCTTTTAGATAAACTGGGGAACAAGGATTGTGAAGAATACCATACAAAGTGGTTAGAAGGTGTGTGTTCCGGCGAAAACGGATGTCGAGCCACTTAAGTCTTGAGCGAAATTGTGATCAAACTTGCGCAGGCCAAAAATATAGCGTATGCACAGATTGAGCAGACGGTCGAGTTTGTTAAGCAGCTCCTCAGTTATATCTGGATAGGCAATATCGGCATAATCAAAAATAGGAAGCAACAGAGAGTTGACTAGCGTAACTTTGGCCGTCTGAGGAATAAACATTTGCCAGAGCTTTAATAAATGCATAGTTCCAAAAATACGTCTCCTGACCTCATTAACCTGTAACACCCAACGGCTACGCTTTGGTGATCTCTTCGGGGAAACCGAGGGACCGAACTTGTCTGTGCAATACAGGATCAGGTTATTAAGACCAACAACTATCGGAGATACATCCTAAAGGATGGCACCGTGGACATCTGTCGAGCTTGTCGCCATCCCGGTGAGTCACTTAGGCATGTCATCTCCGGTTGTTCGGCGCTTTCTAACTCTGAGTACTTGCACAGGCACAACCTAGTAGCCAGAATTCTTCACCAGGAGCTCGCTCTGAAATACGGTCTCGTGGATCGGAAATTGCCGTATTACAAGTACTTGCCGGAAGCCGTGCTCGAAAATGATCGCGCCAGGCTCTATTGGGACCGGGCCATCATCACAGACAGGACTATTCTTGCGAATAAGCCTGATATTGTGCTGATGGACCGGGTACAGTCAAGGATATTTTTGGTCGACATTACCATTCCGTATGACGAGAACCTCGTGAAAGCCGAAACACACAAGCAAACAAAATATCTGGACCTGGCTCACGAGGTGACCGACATGTGGGGTGGTCTGCCGACCGAAATTATTCCTGTAGTCGTCTCTGCAAACGGGCTAATCCCAGCCAGCCTCTCGGGTCATCTGAGGCGACTGGGACTACGTGGCGGACCGCTCCGGGCTCAAATGCAGAAGGCGGTGCTCCTCGATACCGCCCGCATCGTCCGCCGGTTTCTTTCCCTTTCCCCCTAACCCTCGGCCGTTTGGTCTCCCCTGCCGAGGGCCTCCATCTGGTTGGGCTTTTATTTATTTATGTATTTTTATATTTATTTTATGTTATTGATATTTATGTATATTTATCTTTTCATTTTCATTTATAATTATATATTTATAGAACCCAACCAGATGAGAAAACTATATAGATACCCCAAAATAATAATAATGTCCTCCAGACCGAATTTCGGCCACGGTGGCCTGCCTCAACGGAGGCTAGCCATCGGCGCAGGACAGGATTTTAGTGCCCAAGTATATGTCTCACTCTCTCTTCCCTCACTCTCATAATCCGATGGGACGGTAAACCGACACGACCGGAGAGAGATCAGGCGCAGGACCAACGGCTTTACGTGCTTTCCGAATCACGTAGGTAAGACACCGCCAACTTCCTGACTCTGGGCAGCTGCTGAGAATTTCTTAATGGAAAAAACTCAATAACTGATATTTTTCGCCCGACCCGGGATTCGGACCCCAGACCTCATGATCAGCAGTCGCACTACTACAACTACTAAACCAACGAGGCAGTCACATTTACATTTTTCAGTTAGTTTCAACATAACCGCTATGGGAACTATAGAGTTACCCGTAGATATGGAAATAGTCGTTACTGTCTACGAGCAGCATAGTTTGGACAGGTCTCTGTGACGTATACGCAAACTACAGCCCGGGGCACGAAGGAGTGTTCTAATATGTACCTCGGGTAGGAGAGATATGAAATATCAGCCGGAGAGGATACCTGAATCTCGGTTAAAAAGAGCAAAGCCGGCTACGCCGTCTCCAGATGGTAGTGAACAGCGTTAAGGTTGGAATGAAGTTCCCTGATGTTACAAGAATTTACGGATAGCGTGACAGGGGTCAACTTGGTCATATTGCTCTGCTTGCCCCGAGCAGTTTTAGTCGCGGGCGTAATTTACCATTCAACACGCAGAGGTAAACTTTTACTTCACGCTGATATTCTGTAAGGTCGTATAACCACTCCGGTTCGAGCCGGCCCAGCTGCGCAATAGCAAAAGCAGCCGCGTGGCTCTACTACTGTTAAAACTTACGCAGTAAAGTCCGTAAGCCAATGTTTGTTTGTTTTTAGATTGATTTAAGATTTGTTCTTTTGTTGATATTAATGTAGTAAAGTAAGTATATTTTTTATGTCAATCAATACTCAACTATTGTATAACCCCACGGAGAGGAGCAGCTAAAACTACACTGCTACCACTGGAACGCGCTCAAAGAGCTATATCAAAAGTCGCAACATTCCGCCCTATCCTGTTCCCGTCCCACCTCATAGCGGGTCCGCCAAATAACTTTTTTTTTTAAAAATGCTATTAAAAAAAATACTAAATATTTTTTCAAATTTAGCCTACACGATCGGTCCAATTTTTGAGTACATTATCGATTGTGTGCAGCTGTATTTCACCAATGGCTTCACGAATATTGTCCTTTAAAGCGTCAATTGTCTCTGGCTTGTCGGCGTAACACTTATCTTTGACGGCACCCCACAAATAATAGTCCAACGGTGTCAAATCGCAGCTCCGAGGTGGCCAAACGGCATCAGCTCTGCGGCTGATAATGCGATTTTCAAAAACAGGGCGCAAAACATCAAGTGTAGCGTCGGCTGTGTGGCACGTTGCGCCGTCCTGTTGAAACCAAATGTTGCCAATATCCTCCTCTTCAATTTCTGTGAACAAAAATTCGTTCAACATGGCCCGATAACGATCGCCATTGACTGTAACGGCCACACCTTGCTCATTTTCGAAGAAAAATGGCCCAATTATGCCTCTGGACCAAAATCCGCACCAAACAGTGACTCGTTTTGGGTGCACCGGCTTTTCGATGAATGCGTGCGGGTATTCTATGCCCCAAATGCGACAATTCTGCTTGTTTACATACCCGCCAAGTTCGAAATGAGCTTCATCTGAAAAGATGATTTTTTTGGCAAAATCCGCATCTTCTGCAAGTCGATCGCAGGCCCACTTAGCGAAGCGAAAACGCATTGGATGGTCAGTTGGCTTCAACTCCTGAACCAATTGGATTTTGTACGGCGTCATACCAAGGTCTTTACGCAAAATTCGTCTCAATGATGTCTCCGAAATGTCCAATTGTTGAGAACGACGGTGAACTGATGTTGATGGCGTTTCACGCACACTTTCGGCTACAGCAGCAATATTCTCGGGTGTAAGCACTGTTTTTGGCTTTTCACGCGTTGGTTTATCGATGAGGATGCCAGTTTCTTTCACTTTTTTCACAAGGTAACGAACATACGGAGCTTCATTTTTTCCAAAATCCGTACGCAATTTTCGCACACATTCTGCAACATTACCATGATTTTCAAAGTAATGTCGCAATATTTCCCAGCGTTGTTCAAGCGTATACACAACCATATTCGTTCAGCGGAAGGATAAAACTAATTATCTGTCAAATTAGACATGAGCTAAGTGTTGCCATTCACGAAATAAGCACTAGTTGAAAAAAAAGTTAGATGGCGGACCCGTTATATATTATTATTTTTTTACAGGATAGGATGACAAACGAGCACACAGTCCACCTGATAGTAATCGGTTGCTGTGGTCCATAGGCATCTATCTACATCTATCCTCGATTACGAATCAAAATGTAGATGCGTTGTCATCCTTGAGGACTTAGGTTGAATGCCTCGTTTCCAGTAAAAAGGGTCTCCGGTTCTCTACACTCACCATACGAAACACAGCAGCATTAAGCTACTATTTGACGCTGGTATTCTGTGAGAGCGTGGTCCCTCCCCGTTGAGCCGATCCATTCGTGCTACAACTATACTACAAATATAACTACAGCATAGCTCTACCACGTAAAAAATATATATCTTTATATCCTATAATGTTCTCTAAATGTGCCAGATATTCGTTATGAGTACGTTACTAAAACAGAACAGAGGACACTGATAAAATACGTAAAGATAAAGAAATTGAAACTAACATTAGAATAAGGTATTCTTTCATGCACAGATTTTTTTTACATTCCTTGGCCATTTTCTGTATAATAAAATAAAGTCAATGCAATTTTGGACATGTTGCATTTAGTATTTAGGTATATCATTTTTAGTCAGGAAATGAGGTTCACAATATTAACACAACCAAATTTAAATAAATAAATTGTACATATAATAGGAGTTTCAAAA